TTTTGTTCCCCCAGGTGCGGGCCCACAGGGGCTTCCTCAGCACCGGCCTGCGAGCCTGGACTTGGCGCCCCCCCCCCGCGGCGCACGAGAGCCGCGCAGCACACGGGCACCCTTGCCAAGGGCATACAACCCCCCCGTGGAGGGCCGGCCTGGGCCATCAGTGAGGGCCGCCGCCTGCCTGCCAGGCCCGGGCGCCTGCTGGTCCCCTCCTCTCGGCCGAGGCGCTGCGCTGTCTGCAGCGAGGCTGCAACCTGACCGGTGTTCTCCGTCTTCGTTTTACTCTCGTTTTCCCTCGTGTTGCCTGCAACCCGCCCTTTTTACGCAAAGCGACATCGACACGGAAACGGCCCAGGAAATCGCCAGAACACCGTTTAGGTCCACCCCTGGTCTGCAGAGCGCGTAAACTACAGCCCTGGCCCCAAACTTGCGGAGCTCCGCGCGGATGTCCTGGATCGATGATGGGGACCCCCTCCCTGTGGGCGCGCGGCGCGCGCCAAGGGCGGCGCCAGCGGCGCCGCCAGGGAGACCCCACGCCGATCCAAAAGATCCGCGCGGAGCTCCGAGAAGGGTTTATGTTTGCGCCGTTGCTGTTCTCCTTCCACGTGACGGGGCCCTGGGACACACAAATAAATACACACAAATAAAAAGATTCCCCACATTTTCTGATATTTTCTGGGTTTTTGTCTTCGCCCCCACTTCCCATATTTTCCCATATTTTCCTGGGAATCGACGATTAATTGTGTCTGTGTGTTTCTTTCCCTCCTTCCACCCTGGGGAGTTGCAGCAGAGGCGGCCGCACCCCCTCGGAGGCTCGCTCCGCCCCCGGCGCCTCCCCTTGTCCGCGCACAGGTCCGTCTCGAAGGACATCCCGTCGCCACACGGCACGGCGGAGCCGCCCGCCTCACGAGCGCTGCCAGAACGGGGGCCCTACGCTAAGGGATGTCCTCCTCGTGCACCGCCTCCGCCTCCGACTCCAGGGGGCGTCCCCCCTGGTGGTGTGATCCCCTCCCCTGGCCCGAGGCATCCCCTATCCCCAGCCAGGAGAGACCTCGTGGAACTCGCTGCTGGAGGTGGCACGCCTGGTGGTGGTGGTGGTTTCCTGTTTCTTTCCTCCGAGTCCTCCGCCTCCTCATTATCCTCCTCCTCCAGCTCCTCCTCCTCCTCCTCCTCCTCCTCCTCCTCCTCCTCCTCCTCCTCCTCCTCCTCCTCCTCCTCTTCTCCTCCTCCACCTCCTCCTCCTCTCCTCCACCTCCTCCTCCTCTCCTCCTCCTCCTCCTCCTCCTCCTCCTCCTCCTCCTCCTCGTCCTCCTCCTCCACCTCGCAGCAGTCCTGTTCGTCCACGCCTCCGCCTCCGCCTCCGCCTCCGAGATCTTCTTTTCCTCCTCCTCCTCCTCCTCCTTCTCCTCCTCCTCCTCCTCCTTCTCCTCCTCCTCTGAGCGGCACAGCGTAAGGCTTACACCTGGAGAGGAGGACGCGGTGGCCACAGCCCAAAACCCTGCGCCGCCGCCGGGGCGGTGGCACCACACTTGCGGCAGGCAACCCGGCTTAACCGTGATCCAGCCTGATCTCGCTCGCTCGTGCGACTTCAAATTTCTACATTCTGGCAATCGGCAAGCGTCTGCGCCCGCCGAAATTATCGACACTATATATGTGTTGTGCGCTCGCGCGTGGCCAGTCCATGAGGAAATGCAGACAACCTGCTTGTCGTCGTTGTCGGTCCGTCGTTGCCGCCGTCGGCTGGTGATGGTGCTGATAGAGGCCCCATCTGTTGTGCATGTGTAAAAAATCATCGCCATGTTCTGGGCTTGCTGCTGCGAATCGTACTGTCATGCGAGCAGGGCCATCGGCCTGGGGAGGGTGTCAAGGTGCGCGCTGGGCACACCAAACCGACGTTCAAGTAAGGTGTTACGGCGCGAGGACAATGAAAAGGATGACGAGGAAGACTAAGAGGTCATGGCGAAAAAGAGCTTACCAAAACTCCTCCGTGTCACACCACAGATGCCTGTCTTCGTCGCCGTTCAGCGCCTCGTCACCACGCTGAATAACGTCGTGGGTGCCGTCGTTGTCTGTACACGACCGCTTTCCGACACGAATGCGTTCTGTGGCCTCAACTTGGGGGTCCGCCAGACTGGCCGCCAGGAGGAAGAACAGGGTAGAGGATACAGGAGGAAGAAGAAGGAAAAAGAGATGGACCAGGATAGAGGATGGAGGGAGAACAGGATAGAGAGCATGACGAGGGGGAAGGGACCGAGGGACGAACGGAGGAGGGGTGACGAGGCGGGCGAGGGAGCAGGAGGGCGGAGCAGAGCAGTGAGCGGGGGCACGAAAAGGGTGGCCCGTGGCCTCTGGCCTCTGGCACCTCTGGTCGGGGCCCACGGACTCCGGTCGTGGCCTCCAGCCTCCTACTCCCCCTCCTCCTCCTCCTCCTCCTCCTCCTCCTCTCCTCCTCCTCCTCCTCCTCCTCCTCCTTCTCCTCCTCCTCCTCCTCCTCCTCCTCCCTCCTCCTCCCTCCTCCTCCCTCCTCCTCCTCCTCCTCCTCCTCATCCTCCTCCTCTGGCTGCTGGTCGTGGCCTCTGGCCGCGGCCCGGGGATCGCAGGTCGTGGCCTGCGGTCTCCGGGGCTCCCGTATGGTCTCCCGCACGGCAACGTCTGGTGAGATGGTTGCGGGAGCGCGACCGTAGCCACCCACCCAGCCCATCATCAAGCTCTACTCACGATAGCCCATATCGCGTCCGAACGCTCCCTTCTTGCCCGAGGGAGTCGTAGCAGGCGCCTCTCGCCGATTGCTGGAGGTCTCTGCACCTGGTTCGCTGAATGCCTCAAGAAGGTAGTGTGTGTGTGTGTGTGTTCATGAACCCTTGCGCAGATCTGGAAAACGTGCGTTGACGAAACTTGGCGCACGCCCATCAAATCAGACGGGGCATTTGAACACGTGTGTCCAGAAGGCATTCGTCCGGTGTAAAGAGCTCAATCTTGACGTCTTCAAGCCAACTGCGTTTTCTGAGTGATCCTGTGTGCTGCGGTCGAGCGTTAGCTCCAGACCAACATGTCCACCACTTAATCCGCCACCGTGTCTTGTGCACGTTGAGGCGTGGAAGAATGCCAAGGTCTGTCTGGTCGGTTTCGGAAATGTTCTAAGCTCCCCCCCGCCAACTCGAGACGCGCATTCTTGCATACACTGCCCCCTCTCCCCGAGGCTCCTAGGTTTGCCTCACACCTCCCTGGCACTCTCCAGGGCGTCCAGGATGCCCAAGATGGCTTCTGGGACGGCCAAAACAGGCCACCAAGGTGGCCGCAGTGCGCTCTAAGACGGCCTAAGACGGCCTCAAGACGGCCCACGAGGCCGTCGAGGCGTCTCAAGAGAGCCCCAGGAGCCTTCCCAAGAAGGCCACAAGAGACACACATCACTGATGTTCCGTAGCTTGTTCAATGTGTTTCCAGCTGTTGCCTTTTCGAGCTTCCGACTTCCAGAGGCGGCTGCAGAGGCAACCAGGACTGCCCCGAGACGGCCCAAGAGGCTTCCAAGAAGGGCCCAAGACGGCCAAAGAGGACTGCAAGCCTGCCCCAAGAAGGGCCCAAAAGGGTGAACTCGAACCGACAATTAGAACCTTCCGCCTCCATAGAGCTCAGGAGGCCCCAAGAGGGGCACAAGAGATCCAAATAATTGATTTGCGCTTAGCTTTTCCAATGTGTTTGGGGGTCTCGCCTTTTCAAGATCCCGACGCTCCAAGGCGGCCCAAGAGGCCCCCGAGACCCGCCCAAGGCCCTCCCAGGAGGCCCTCAAGAGAGCTCCAAGGCGGCCCAAGTGGGCTCCAAGGCGGCCCAGGAGGCGCCCACGACTGCCCGAGAGGGCCCCCGGATCGCCCCAAGAAGGGCCCAAGAGTGGGAAAACGAAACCAGAATTCGAGGCTTCTGCCCCACGAGGCCCCCAGCAGGCCCCGTTGCCTTCTCGAGGAGTTGCCACCCAGGACGCTGCGTTGGCACGGTGGCGCAATTGTCGGCGGCAGCTGGATAACAGTTGCACTGATTCATCCCACAGGTAAGGTGGACACGAGGCCCAAAAGACATACGTAACAAATCTACATCGAGAAATGGCCGGGTCTGATCAGGCCTGGAAGCGCTCTCAGCATATATGAATTTACTTTGAGACTTCGGTCTGCTGCTTCGTATTATGCAGTAGAAGACTCTGTAGCACAGTGTACAATAGTGGTCTGGTTGTCGTGGCAACGCTCATCCTACCAATCCGCCCAAACCTAGCAGAATGTTTTCGCCATCGTGCCAACGCGGCGCGATCAGAGAGCCCTTCCCTGTCCTGGCCCATGACCGCACCGCGCGTTCCTTCTACGGCTCCCGGCTCCATCCTCTGAGTGCTATTGGGGCATGCCGCGACGATTGGGCCCAGGGTCGGCAATTCGAGAGGGGAGGAAGAGGACTCGAGGGAGGAGGCCGAGGAGGAGGGGGAGGGGACGGGGAGAACAGGGCGAGCAGAGAGACCAACGGGGAGAAAAGAGGAACAAAGAGAGAGAGCGCCGCGCCCTCGCCGCGGCCGCCGCCGCCGTCGTCGCCTTCGTTTGCGTCGTCGTCGACGTCGTCGTCGCATCAACCGTCGTCGTCCTCCTCCTCCTCGCCCTCCTCCTCCTCCTCCTCCTCCTCCTCCTCCTCCTCCTCCTCCTCCTCCTCCTCCTCCTCCCCCCTCTCCCCCTCATCCTCCTCCTCGTCCTCCTCGTTGTCTATCGTCCGTCGCCGTCGCCGCCGCAACCTCGTTGGCCACAGCGCGGGCATGGACATGTCACACAGAATCGGTAGGACCGCGATCCCTCGTACCGCTGTGGGCGCTGGCGGCGCACAATCTGGCTACCCGTGGGCCGCGGCGAGGATCCTGATGATCACACGATGCTGGGCCCGAGGTCTGAAGACGAAGGCGACGCGCTCCAACCAACGCCATGGGGACTCGAGTCGGCTATTGAGCCGGACGCCTCCATCCGCTTCAGGCACAGGACCATGGGAGATGGTGCTGATTACCTCGAGGCGCTACTGCCGGAGGGCGAGGCCACCAGCGACTCGGACGCCTACGTGTAGAGGAGCAAAGGAGAGCAAAGCATGAACTCTCGGCGCTTCGCGCGGAGTTCTTGAATCGGCGCTGGATCCCCCTCCCTGGCGTGCGGGGCGCGCCAGGGGCGGCGCCAGAGGCACCACCAGGGGGCTCCAGCGCCGATCCGAGAAATCCACGCGGATCTCCGAAAATGTATGTTTATGTCATGTGCTGTTCCTCAGCTGTAATGACCCGGGTGTCTACGATTCGACTTGTAATCGCTATCGACCGCCGCCGTGATGGAGACAGCCTCTCGAACCTCGCGCTGTGCTGCTTACACCAAGCGTCGGGCTGAAAGCCGCCCTTCCCGTTCCAGGGAGTCCCGCGACTGGCTTCGAAGCCATCTTGGAAACAATTGACCGTCTTGGAGGCTCTCTGGGAGAACTTCTTGGGAGGCCGTCTTGGAGGCCGTCTTGGAGGCAATCTTGGAGGCCTTCTTGGAGCCCATCTTCGAGGACCCATCTTGGGACCCATCTTGGATGCCGTCTTGGAGGCCCTCTGGGAGCCATCTTGTCGCCCAAGTGATTTCGCTTGCCACACCTATTCTCGTAGCTGTTTGAGCGATATATGAGCGATGGGAGTCGTTGTGACTAGCATCATCTTGCTCGCCAAGACAATTGGGAAGGATGCGCACGTCGACGAACATATATGCGCATCTCGACGATGGCGTTGGTGAGCATTTGCGCACGCACAGAAAATCTGACAAGCATCTTGAACCCGCGGTGAATTATCCTGGCGAAGAACCTATCCATATGCAGGCGTGGGCAACGCACGGCAGGTTGAACAAAGGAAGGGCAGCTTCTTATGG